CTGTGGACACCGAAACATTACATGAGCTAGGAAAGCAATCAGATGATACACTCAGGGAAAAGAAATCCATCAAGGATACCACTGCTGACCAGGAAATCCCAGAGCCACCACTGGCTGAGAGCAGGAGGGCAGAGATGCTCCCCACTCCCCACACTCCCCTCGGGCTACACTCTTCCCAAAGAGTAGCATTTACTGTGGGCCACTTTGGGGATAAAGATACTGAAGGGACCGGACTTTTGGTTTCATCTGCTGTGGCTGCTCTTACATTTCTAACGAACTGCAACAAAACTCCAAGCATTTCATGAGCCTGAGCACCTACACTCCTTGTACTTAAGAATAATCAATTCCTTTGCTAATCTTTTTTTCCATTGCTTATGCCAGTGCGAAAATATGCCTAGATGTAAATTTTCCTGCAGACACCTCCCGAACAATAACAATACCTAATTTATTAAGTACATATTTAAAACCTGCATTGTTCAATCTTTAGTACAGGACATTGCCCTTCAAAATCACTTCCCCTCTCTTTATGATACTTTTAAAACAAAACCTAAAACTAAAGCTGAACACACAAAAACTAAACAGAAATATTTTTGTAGATGTTTTCTTAAAAAATTGACTCTAAAATTCCCTAATATGTTGTAGCAAGTAAGTTACAGAAAACAGGACTACTTTAGAATATAAAGATATGAGAAACTCTACATTATTACACAAAGACTCACAGATTTAGAAATACCTGTGAAAGTAGGTATCTGTACCAAAGATTTTACAGTAAGCAGAACAGCTACTTACTCACTGAGGCAGTTCTTGCTTTTCATCATGCTGTCTTCTCATTGCTACCATTTAATTACCTGACCATCGTCCAGGCTTTCTCCTTTTACCCTGTCAAAAAAAGAGAAAGATATTTCTGTATGTAATATTCACCATCACTCAGCAAGTATCTATGCAGAATTGCCTGATATGCAAGCTATGTGGAATTATCAAGTGATTTTGTTTCTTAAAAAAAAAAACACCAAAGTTGTCTTGTCTTTTATTGTTACAATTTTTATTATAACAATATTGTGTATTTTTATTCTATGGCATGAATATGAAGGATTACCATCATATCTAAAATCTGATACGAAATATCAAAGTAAATCTGTGTTATGCCAAGTTAATGAGTTTCTCGTTTTTCCTGAAAATCAAATCATGTATTATTTTGACATCATCATGTTAATTCAGAAGAAAGTGTTGCATTGGACTGAAGCCATCTGACCAGCAGTTACTCTATTTTATGACATCTCCCGAGGTTTAGAGTTTTGGGTTTGCTCCCTATTGAAAAAAAAAAACCTCCAAAAGAGAAATTTTCCACTAGTTTAGGCACGATTTTGTTTCACACTGCTAGTCATGGCTTGAATTACTCCAGTTTCTAAATTGGGCTCTGGTTCCCTCTCCCTAACCAGTATCTTCCTGTGGCCAGTTTCATTGAAACAGATTCCTCTGTGGTATAACTGAACTAAAACGTTCTGACCCATGCTGTGTTTCAAGTGTAAGACATTTACTCAGCAGTACACAAAACCCAAAGGCAGCACAAACGCTGCCCCTCAAGACTCAGTAGAGTAGCACTGGCGAGCATCAGTGCTTGGCCTCTATCAGCAAGGCTTTCCATTCCCACCTTAAAAGAGACAGCAACCAGAGCAAACTGGTCCTTAGGAAATGCACAGCTTGGAGCGTCTTGGGCATCATTTGCCTTCTGAAAGCAGGCTGTCAAGGGCTTGCACACCACACAGTTTTAGAGAAAGCAGAAGATACAGGGCAGCCTTCCCTCTATGAAGGTCATGACCAGTAAAAGTGCCTGAAAGAGCTTCAAGAGCCCATCAGTTCTTTCAGCAGGGTCAGGGCCACCTCGAGTCCTCTCTCCAAACTGCATGGCAGAAACTGCCAGCAGCAGGAGCCTCTCCTCCTGCATACTCACCCCTGGCCACGTCGCTGGGTCCGTGGCCATCCTCGGTTCTTTCCCTTTCAGGTCTCCCACACATGGTGCTGTGGGCAAGTGTCAGCAGCACCTTGTGGGCATCGCAGCACTAACCCAAGCTGTGTGGGGGGCTGCTTCTGCCTAATGCTTCCAGCTGTTGAATGCTGAGGTGTCTTCACATTTCAGCAGAGGTCACTTTTGTAGCTTTTTGCTGCAACAACAGGGGCTTTTATTCACCTTTTAAAAAAAATTAAAAAAAAAATCTCCAAGTACGAGGCCCTCAAACCTCTGCCTGACTTGAGCTGTGCCATAGGCACATAGTGCTCTGCAGCAGGCTAAAGACAAGTCTGTTTTGCTACCAACAGGGATGTAGCTGTCCTGTACCCACAGAAAACAGCTAACTCTTGGGGTTTCCAAAACACAGCCCTTGGCTTTATATTCCTGCAGCCAACTGGCAGCCACAAAGACCACTATCACAGTGAAGTTTAGAAAAGCATCCAAAATATCTCTGGCATTACTCACAGCAAATTTGACTGACCAATATTTATCAGCCACTAATAAAGCTGTTCTAATCTGCACAGAATTCATATCAAATTGCAGGCTGGCAGAAAAAAAGACAACACTAATTTGTACGAAAAGTAGCAGTTTCAATCATTAAACAAAGGAAAAACCATCCACACTCAGAAAATCATTACAGGTGAATTGACATTACTGAAGGGCAAGCCACCCAGGTTAGGCATGTGTCCAATAATAATGATGGCTGTTCCTAAGGCACAAGCAGAAATGGCAATAGAGACTGATACCAGTTCAACTTATATGACAGCAGTGCACTACAATTTTCTTTTTTTTTTTAACAGGAATTTATAGACATTCCTATGTCAACATAAACATCACTCAGAAAGTATTAGTTAGACATGTCTTTAAGAATGGCAAAAAATCTGTATCAGGATCATGGAAAAATAGGTGCTTGTATATTCATTACTTTCAGTACAGTTTTTAGAAATGTCATTTTGAAATGTCTTTATTTTAAATTATGCCAGAACCTCACAAATCTGCCTTCCATCAGCTGGATGAAAAATTGGCACTATTTTTCATTTCTCAGGATATATTAAACACTGGACTCTGTGTTGCTGAGATCAAATGTTCTTACAAGGTATGAGCTGAAGGACCCCAGACACTCCAGGATGTTACCTACAAGTGACTTTTCTTGCCAGGGAGGTGAGGAGCCAGGCTGCCGCACCCACAGAGGATGCTGCTGGCAGCCGCTGCTCGACGGCGGCCGGCTCCTGAAGTGCTTTTCCCTCCATCGCTCCGTGAGAGCCACAGTTGCCACCTTTCTTGGAACATCACTTTGAACAGCACACGGGCACAGAACCTACGTTAACAGCCGAGTGTGCTAATTAATCTGGCTGGAGGACAAGGGGAGCATCTGCTGCTGCAATTATTAGCATAGGTTTTGGTTTCGCACATTTGCAAAGGAAGGTTGCAGGCACTTGGGTCTGGCCAGTTGCTCTCCGGTGGCATTCTGGAATGGAACTGTGTACTCACGCAAGCTGCAAAGGAAAGCAGAAACCTACTGCAGCTTACCACCTCCTACACATCGCCATGCCTAAGTGCTGTCAGAGCTTATATTTCAACTTTTAAACCTATAGGATAAGGTTTTCAAGAAAGCTCTGGTTCTACTCACGGGACAAACTCTGACAAGTCAAGACCTACCAAATTCTTGGAGCCACAACAAGAGCCAACAACTTTAAGAGTTTGGTTTTAAGTGTCAACATTTCTCTCAAATTTATATCTCACATTTCCTAAACAATATAGGGTCCCCTGAACATGTGAAAGCTCTTGAGAATCCAAGTCCTGAGCTTTTCTGCTGTTCTCCATTCTGTGTACTATTTGATCAAATCTATGTAACTTATTTTGCTTAAGAGTAAGGCATGCACAATGAAAAACACTGACACAGATTATATGCAAAATAAATATTTTATTGGTTTAATATACACTTTTTTTAAAAGAAATCAGCCCTTGTGTGTCTTTCTAACACAATTAAAAATCTTGCAAACTTTTTCATGTAATATTGTTATATTTTAAACTATTTTTGATTAAAGACCTTGACATAGTGTAAAGAGTTTTAGTAGATGGAAATGGCAAAGGAGTAAAGTGATTCCAAGCACAACAAAATGGGATATTGCATATCCACTAAATGTCTATTTGACCCCATAAAACCTCCAACGACTTCTAATCTGCTTCATTGGAACAAACGCATGTTTACTAGGCTAAGTGAAAATACACTCAGTGAGGGATGGGGAAAGAAAAGAGATTTTTTCAGTTTTCCCCATAATACAAGCAAGGTTGTTCATCCATTCCAAGTTGCTCATCCTAATTGCTTTCAGAAGATCAGTACTTTTATTGCATTTTGGTTAATATGAAGCAGAAGAGAACTTCTCTTGGTATGACTGAGAGCAGTTAACAGAAAGACAAAACCAGTGCTTTAAATAAGGCACTTTTCTATAGAGGGATGGGCAAACAGTAAGGAAGCAAATAAAATTAGTTAAAAGTTGTCTTCTACACAAAGATAAGGCTTTCAGTGTCAGAACTTTAAGTAGTTTTAAGTAACCTCATATCATTCTACCACTCTGCTAATAGTAACCGCCCCAAGAATTAACAGCAATTTTTACAACAGGATTGTCTCCTTCTTTTGAAGTGGCACTAAGTAACAGCAGTGGAAACCATTATTGGTTGTTTCAAGCTCTTAAAGTGGATCAGTTATTGCACAATAAATACCTCACAGAGGTCAGTGTTTTTGGGGGGTTTGTGTTGTGTGGGGTTTTTTTGTTGGTTTTTTTTTTTTTGGTTTTGTTTGTTTTTTTTGTTGTTGTTGTTTTTGTTTTGTTTTTTTCTAAAAAAGCTGAGCTGAACACATGTGTGCTATTTATAAATTGGTTACCTCTGGAAATCTTCAAGTTTCATGATGCATCATTAGACAAGAAATTAGCTAAGCAAAAATTTACAACAGGGACATACAAATAAATACAAAACCTTTCAGAAAGCCACAGTTTTGTTGATGTTTTAAGGAAAGTAAGGAACTAGTTAAAGTGTCTAAGTCTTTATAGATGAACTCAAGGAAAGGTACACATCATAGAACCAAGCGTCGAATACAGTAGCCTATCTCAGCAGCTTTAACATCTCCTGAAGCAAAAATAACTTGACACTTTCACCAGTGTATGCGGCCCAAAGCAGAAGCCCACAGCATTTCGGACTACATCCAACCTTATGGAAAAGAAAAAGCAAGACGAATATCTAAATTAGATTTTTGGAACTCTGCTTATTCTGCTGAAGTGTGTATTTTGATAATATTCACATCTAAGGCAGGCAAACTACAGAAGTCCTCTCGCATGATGTGTTCACATGCAAAGTCATCATGGAGCACACTGAAACCAAAAATCAAGGACCACTGCATGAAAGCTGGCAGTAGAATGGGCCAAACCATGAACTGGTTTCCTGAAGCTATCCAGGATTATCAGCATCCTCTGTATTTAATGAACTTCAATTTTGATCACTTACATTTCAGGGAGAAAATGCAAACAAAGCAAAGTCTAAGTTAACAATGATATTTCATATGATTAAAAAAAATAAAATCTGGTTCTGGTAGATTCCCAAGGATTACCTGTAGTACCAATTTCATGGCTGTGTATCTTGTTTTGCAGTTGCAGATCTGCTTTGGGGTGACACAGCTGCTAACAATCCACTTACTATTTCTCGTCTTATTTCACCAACAATAGATTCCTTGATCTGAAAGGGATTAGCAAAAGTTTTAAGGTCATTAAGTTATATAACCAATGGATGAAAGTGAACGATATTGCAGACACCTTTGATATTATTGACACATGAAAACATACACCACCAAAAAGTCAACTTTCAAAAAAATGCAAATGGAAAAACAGAAGAGGGTTTCTCTTGGAAAAATAACTCTAGAGTAATTTTAAAGTTCTTGCAAATCATACAAATGCAAACCAAACTAGTTTTACTTTTCCAGATGGTAAATATATCTATGTTTTACACTTAGGATAACTGGTTTTATGTTAAGAAAATACATTTCAACTATGCGAACTACTGAAAATAGCATTTCAGGACATACACATCAAAGGCACTCCAAGTGCACAGCTTTTTGACATTAGCCATTATCTCTTGAAAAGGAAGGCAGGACAGATCTGCCTCACAAATAGATTATGCAGTAGGGAAGGTCCAAGTACATGAACATGAGCTGCTGGTTTCATATAAACGAAAAGCAGACAATCCTAATTACATACTTTCAGCAGCAATGACAAACAGAGAACTTCAACAGTTGCTCACATCATCAGTTGTCCACTGGGATATGATCTATGCCAGCAAAGACTATTTTTCACAGGATTGTGACAAAGCATTTATCCATTAAGTTTTACATAAAACAAACCCAGGAGCTACTACTATCAGGCACCTGAGTGTGGCTGAGGCTAGAACAAAGGAAAAGCAGAGCACTGACAGCTACCATAAAGGAAACAAAGGAGAGAAGGAGGCAAAACACAGTTCTACAAGAGCATACTATGCTGGAAAGGAGCAGGGCATGACAAAGAAAAATAACATGGGCAGCTCACAAGTACGAGAAATCTTTGGCATCAACTCATTTTTTGGATGGTCTTCAGGAAGGACTAACAAGTCAGATGCAGTTCCAAGGACAGGGGAGGACGAAGGAGGTGAGAGAGTGCAGGAGGGGGTAAGAGCCAGAGCCCGGCCGCTGGGGTCACTCACAGAAGCACTCATCAGCCCAGTTAAGCAATACAGTTTTCTTTTTCTTCTAAGTCTCCCCTTTTCCTGGTGCGTCAAAAGGATTAAGCAACAACGTCAGAAGGGTGGCAGCAGCATTAGCAACAGGTTATTTATCCCTTGTTCTCATTGGCAAGCAACTCAACGCCTCAACCATTAGTGGCAAAGTTCCTTGTTTCATTACTACTTTGCATCAAGTCGAAATTCAGAGACTATAACACTATTGGGAAACAGGTTTCCAGTTGTGTTTTTTGCTGATTAACTGACAAAAGAAAAGCCAGTGTGTAACAGGACGTGGTTTACCAACTGCCCTAAGTCCTGAGGATGACTATGCCGAAGCGTAGACAGACATACAAAGCTTTAGGACCGCTGTCAATGCAGTAAGGGCTTTGGGATTTGGGAATGCAAGCACAGGGAAACCTGCCATGCAGCACCCGGCTGTCTGGCAGGCCACTGTCGTAAGAGAGCCCTGCACTGCCCTCTCTGCTTTTCTTCTCCAGTACCATATGGGGTGGTCTCCCACTATGCTACAAAACAGTCATTCTCTGCCCTTCTGTCGACAGATAGGCAAAAATAAACCTCACTTTCCAAAGAAAACTGATAAAAGCTTCCCAAAGTAGCAAGTAAATGGTCTAGTATGACAGACAGTCTTGCAGAGAGGCGGAAACTGGAAGGGAAGCGGGTCCTGTTCTATTCTCAGCTTTTCCAACAACTTCTGGCTTGACCTTCGTGGATCACTTGAGCCCTCTGTTTCTCACCTTCCCGCCCAGAAGACAACAAGGCCACCCTCCACTGCTTCTTTTCACTGCCACTGCTTCCTCCCTCCTTTCCGGACTCATCAAGGTCATTCCTGCGTGGTGAGCGCAGCATCAATTCCTGCGGTGACTCAGTCCCATCTGTGTGTCATGACAACGGCCAATGTTTGCCTTTTTTGTTACAAATTATTTAGGGCAAGGCGCACCTTCCATTTGCTCTGCAGAGGGCACAGCCCGCTGCCAAGGCTTCCTCCATACAAAAGTCAGAAAGCAGTCAATGAATGCTCCACTGGTATTTTTAGCAGCTGAATGAAAAATTGATCATTTGAAAGAGGAGAGAATCCACTCATTTATGGCACATATACTACACTGATACAACACTAATATTTAACATGGAATTAGTAACACAGTGCCACATTCATAGATAGTTTTACTACAGCAAACCAGTGATCTTTCTCCATATGAAAGAATTACCATTATTGTAATATTACGTTGCTGCTAAATAATGAATTGATTGAGAGTGAAATGTGCCACAGTAGCAATTCTGGAGATGGGTGTTCTTCGCCTGTTAATGGAAAATGGGCATAATGCTTTTCACAGTCCTCATACTCCTGATCTATGTTTTCTATAATTAAAATAATTATTTTCTACTCTATTTTCTTCTTGTGCCACTTCATGGCAGCAGCTGGTAAGTTTTTACACTCAAGATAGGAAGATGAGGAACCCAACGCCTGCACAAGGGGAGTATGAACAACCAACAGACATTTTTGATTGATGCTGAGCTAACATGGGTCTGAATGGAAAACAGAAAAGGGAAGATTCTCTATCAGACTACCTGTCTGTCCCATAAAGACCCATTACAGCCTCTCAGAACAGATGTTGACAGGAAAAGCACACATTTCTTTGAAGTATGCCTTCATTAAATGTCATTTACAATGGAGAACTGTAAGTAAAACCAAAACCTGCATTTCTCTTAAGCAGAAAGCTTTTTAAACTATCACATCTTTTAAACTGCGGAACAGCAGAGTGGGAGGGCCTGGTGGCACTCCTAATGACACTGTGACCTACAAATGAAGCAGTAAGTGCTTCATGAGATACTCCAGTGGAGGTCAGGCTGTATTTTCATCAAAACAAGAGGGCCACTGTTTGGCGTTTTAACATTTCACATTGTTGAATGCTTTTCCGTGGGAGTTAGTCCATTAACACTAAAAGTTAACACCATGGGGGTTTTTTAATGCCAGCAAACAGTTACAGGTCAAAGCTCACATGCATTACAACCCACCCAGGCATATTCTGAAACACTGCCCGACTTTTCTTTCCTCGACACAAGGTCATGCAGCTACAGAGTATGGGAGGAATAAGCAAGGCTTTAACATTTTTGAGCGCATACATCAAGAATGCATCCTACCAGATTTCCTTTTTTTGACAACGAAACTGGAATTCCTTTGCTAACAACACAGCTACTTAAGGAAGACGCATTTCAATGTATGCTCTGCTTTAGGTCTTATGAAGTGCGAAAGATTTTCCTGACCAGTATTTAATAGTATATTCTTACTCTGCAAAAACTACCAGGTGCTTTGAGCCAGTGCATCTTCACTCTGACCTGCAAAACTTCTCATGCTGAGAATCTTGAGCCAATTCAAAACAGGCTGCCAATGAAGTTAAACTGAGGGACAATCTCTCTGTGTCCTCAAACATGTACAAAGTGAGTCAAGCTCAGTTATTTGCTGACTGCTCATCTTTGAATAGTAGCCTCTCAGTTCAGCGTGGATTCTTTCAGCATTACAATGTTCTCTGTGCCACACAACCCAAAGAACAATCTCTTTGCAAAGGGTACACATCTTTATTTGCTATCAATTAATGAAGTTAAAGAAGAACTTTCACACAGGCTAACTTCAGAGAAAATATTGACTGAAATAACTCTGTACTTTGACTCCAGCTCCCTGTACTGTCTCTGCTGCTTTTACAGTACTTCTGAATTACAGCGCTCTCCTTCCTCTATTTCTCCTTTAGCAACCCTCCACCATGACAGCACTCCTCTGACACGCAAGTTTTTACAGAAGGGCTGGATACAAATGCAATATCCTGGCTTCACTGCAGAACTGGCAGGAAAGTGCAAGGTGTGATAAATATCTCATGTGCAAGTCTTCTCTGAGCATTAAGGGAAGGAACTCCTTTAAAAAGGTATAAAAGGAAAAAAATGGACCAGAAAGAGAGAGAATTTGGGAGGCCTGGGAGTATTTTACGATCTCCCCTAAACAAGGCCTTTCTCAGGACTCCTTCCAACTTTACTCTAGCTACTTTAGAGAAGATGACAGGAGGATGGTGGTGGATGGGGAAGACATTTAAAAACTGAATGCTTGCCCCACTGCCTCATTCATTCCTTTGCTTTCAAAGCAGAGGTGTAAAGTTGTAGCATCACAAGCTCCACTGTAAATATCAGTGTTGGTCAGAAGGTGTTCAGCTCCTAATGCTGAGCACAGTAATGATAAGGTCATCGGTCTGGTGGTACCTCACCATGAGCTGACCTTGGTACTATTCCTTCCACAGGATAATGCCACTTTCCATAACTCATCCCACTGACTCTAATGGGGCTACTGATGGGGCGAAGCACTATTCAGCACCATGAGGATACTTATTGAAAGCTGGTCTCCATTTTGCCTCATTGCCAAAATTCATCCTCTTTTAACACCAGCAGTTCACTGACAGTTAATGCTTGTGGCTATGCATTATTATGCTTTGCACTCTGAGCTCTGGTTATTTATGAAGTTTCCCAAAGGTAAACAAAGTAAATACCTTCATATGCTTCCAGTCATCATCTTCTATAAGAACACTCCTTAGTAATACTCTGCTGCTTCACAATCTCACTGTGCAAGTGTAAAGTGCCAACGCCTACCAAAGCCCACAGTAAGTCATCCCAGAAAACATCCCCACTTTGCAGAGACAGACACAGCAGAATATTGTGGTCAGACGATGAGTAAAAGAATACCTTATGGTCTAGTACACTCTGCCTCTTTCTGCACTGAGAGAAAAGAGGTGAAGGTGTGGCAAAAGATTTCTCTGGGATCACAGCTCCTGTTTTATCATGAGATGAGTGGCATGTCTCTCACCTGTTTTAAAGACAAAGCTAAGGCAAAGCTGGTTCCAGTTATTCACAGCCTCAACGCAAGCAGACCTGGATGGTACCGCAGCGTTACAGCCCAGTCTGTTGTACCTTCCTGAGCACGACACCTCTCCTGGCCTTTCCAGTGGTTTATGGTAGAGCCATACAAAAGCTTCAAGGGATGAGCTAAAGGCTAAGGGTCCAATGACCATCAGCTAAAGGCTCAGTAGTCCCTCTCCAGTGAAGGAGAGGGAATAAAACCCACAGGTTCTCAATCCCCATTTCTGTGTTCACAGCAGAGAGCTCGCTCCACTTCCTCAAGAGAACAAGTTTCTTTTGCTTCCTTTTCCCATTTATACAACTTGCCATAAGGCTTTCTGTCATGCCACTGACAAACCAAACATGCAGTTTTAGTCCTGTTTTTTAACCTGGCCCACAGGAAGAATAACCAAGGACCTTTCACTTTCATTGACTGCCAATAAAACTAGTCCAACAGCATTGGTCCAACATCAGTCTTAAAGTCTGAAATAACTTCTCATCTGACTTCAGCTTGCTTCACTTACACTCCTACAGTCCTTAGTGGTTTGGGGTAGAGGGACTGGGAAAGTAGTTTTAACATTTACTACGGAGTTGTTTCAGAGACAGTATTTCATCAATCAAATTAACTCCAACCTGGCATTTAGGCAAGCAAACATGACAAGAGAAATTTTCACTTGGGAATCTGAAATACTGCTGCTTAACCAAGTAGTAGAGATGGCAAATTCTTTCTCATCCAGACTTTCAATTGTAACTAGCTATTAATTTATGTGCTAACTGCTATCACTGAAAAAATGTCTACTGCTTTGCACAAGAATACAACTGTGGCTTGAACATCTAGCAACAAGCTCTGAGCCTTGGCTTGACAGGGAATAGAAAACCCCAGTGGTCAAGAGTTACAGATAGCCTGTCTTTGAGTTTCAGTGAACACTGTTCAAACATCCTAGACCTCAGCCCCTCCCTCCTCACCTCCCGTATGACTTGCTGCAGCTCCTCCTGCTCCACAGTTTTGTGGATTTCATCAACTGAAGGCACGAGAGGGACTTTTTCAAGTTTGTGCTCCGCCTCTGGTTTGGAGTCTGCAAGCTCCTCAGAGCTTTCCACCTGCTGTCCAGCACCTGCTCTCACCGGGGGAGTTGGTGTTAAGGCAACGGAGGCTCGGTATAACTTCCTGCTTTGACTCTTAGACTTTCCTGTCAGTTCAGAGGATCCAACACCAACTTTTCTACCTGCATGACCGGAGCACACTGAAGAAGAATCAGAGTTTCCATGGGAGAATACAGACTCTGTACCCTCTGCTGGGAGAGTTTCCAGTCCAAGATCTCCCAGTCCTAAACCCAGTTCAGACTTCAGAAATGACTGCTCTCGAATAAGTTCGGAGACCTAAGGATTCGGAAAAGAAAGCATATAAAAAAGTCACATACAGACACAACTATGCTTTCTTGTTATTTATTCAATCACTTACTCATCCCCTCCATGTAACAAATACAGCTATAAAATAAACATATGCTTTGCCTTTATGACTGCAACAAATAGGATCATAAAAAGGAATGGGCTTTTTTGAAAGCCAACATAAATACGAATTGTGGCAGTTCCCCAAGCCACTGACTTTTGCAATACGGATGCATCCTGCCAAAGCCATTGACAGAGACACACGTAAAGGCTCGATTTTGTTTTTCTTTGCTAAAACAATTCAAGTTTGTTCTTTTCTTTCTGCAGTCTTTGAACTACTTGTTTTCAGTAGCATAAAACGTACAGAAAAATAAGAAATAATTTCCCCTAGAAAACTCACCATGTCGTCATTGTATCAACTAAAGGTAAATGACATCTCACTTCTACATACTCCTCTTAACAACAAACAAGACTTCACAGCTACTTACACCTACGGTTAAATTTGCTTAAGGGAAAATGTAGCTGCTCTCAAAAGAACTACTCAAGTGAGGAAAGTATTTCCAAGATTATGTGTCAAATGAATCTCCTGCAATCTCTTCTTAGAAATTTCTTCCTGGTTCTTTTTCTTAGTAAAACATACAACACACAACAATTACTTACTGGTTCAATGACATTCAATGGAGAAGGGCATGACAGATTATCAGCACTTCTGCTTCCATACATACCCTGAAAAATTAACTCAAGTTAATGCATTAGGGATTTTTTTTAGAGCTGTCAGAAGCTAATATATAAACATGCCGTGTCTCAGACAACTTTCTGTGAAAGTAGAAACTTGGAAACAGGAAGCAAAGCTGGTTGGAGAAAGTTTATTTCAGTCATTTTTAAAGCTGGCCCTCTTCTATAAAAGGATTTACAAATAAAAAGATATTTATATGGTTCAAAGAATGCACGTTTGGCTTGGGATCACAGTAATACCATATTTTCCTGTTCTTGGGTTTCAATTTTTTTCCCATGACAAAATACTGAAGAGGAAGATGTGGCCTGTGCCTGTGCTGCTTCTACAGAAGAGGACTGGCTACGAAAGAGGAATGAAACCCAGGAAGAACATATGATACTTTTCGTCTGTGCTTCTTTCGTTTGGCTGGTGACAGAATTGCAGCAGAAAAAAGAGAAACAGTCTTCCACCAAGTGAAAAAGAGGAGAAAGTATATCACCATGCCACCAATAAACATATGCAAGTGTCTCTTTTACCCCCCTTCTTGTGCTTCTGGGGAGTGTGTGTGGGAGCAGAGCTTGTCCCACTGTCTGGTGAGGAGCCACACGTGCATCTGAAGGAGCTACAAAAGGCAATGGAGGAAAAAACTGAAGATGATCACTGGATTTTCCTGGTTTTTAGTTCCATGGATTGGCAGAGCCAGAGGGGAAGTACACCTCATTTCTTGAGAGAGAAACACTGTGCATTTCTCATCTCTCTGCCCTCATTTCACAAGAAGGAAAATCAG